ATTGATGTCAGTCCTGTATCTTCTCCATCTTCTTCTCGCTCTATCCCTTTCAGCCATTTTATTCCTGATGACGTCAGACAGCCATGGAGCTGGGAGATGCCTGGGTCTAATCTTGCGGTGTGGTGCATGCTTGTCAAAACATCCCAGAAGATAATCATTCAGTATACCCAACTTTCTATCAACATTGTCGATCTCATACAATGCGTTCCAATCACAGGAATCGAGCTTACTCAGGAAGCGGTCAGAGTCGAAGGATCTAAAATCTCTCACCCAAATGCTCCGCTTCTGCAGACTCCCCATACCGAGTCTGTATTCCACGTAGATCAAATTATGTGAGGAAAGAAAACCGACATCCTGTTGACCATAGTAAGTTAATTTGTCCACGTCATCAATCATGCACAAATCAAGACGAGTGGCAGACGAGCGCGTGTGGTGCGTTGGCGCATAGGGTACCAAATAGAAGTCTACAGAGTTGGCAAAAGACTTAATAAGTTCGGAATCATACGAACAAGAATCAAGATCCGCATTGAAATCATCCAAGACGAGAGTGTGCTTATATAGCACAAATCTATCAGCAATGATATTAAGAATATCTGATAGGTAGCCACAGTGTGGAGGCCGATAAACAACAGTAAGGAGGAACCTGGAACACAGATCCGTGGAGACCTCTGCCATCAAAAATTCCGGCTTGCGACAATACAAATTGTCAGAGTGTTCAAGTATCCTACCTCTGAGTTGATCTTGCAAATAGATAGCTACTCCCCCGCCGATCTTGCCCACGCGATCCTGTCGCAAAATGTGATCTCCCCGTAGAGATATCATCTGGTCAGGGATGGAGGGCCTGAGCCACGTCTCAGACACACAGATGATATGAAATCTTGAATCCTCGAAAAAAGTCCGAAATTCATCAAAATGCGCCAGCAAAGACTGAGCATTTACATGGCAGATATTCGCAGTATTCATCGGTGCACTAGCCATAATTAATACTGTTGATTCTATCAATGATTCTCTTACGCAAAATAGGGCACGATTTACCATCCAATGCAGAGTGCTGCGGCGCAACTTGCGATGTCCATCTTCTACAATTTCAACACACCGGCGATTCCTTCCTCCTCGTACATTCCTTTGTCTCATGCGGCTTAGCGCAGTGGCCGCAGAGAGGTGCAGACTTGCAGTTTTTGGCGAAATGTTCAAATGCCAGACATTTAAAGCATTGTAGGACTTTTACATAATCAGAGACACGGCAAGCATAGTAATTTACATATACATGTTTGTCGCTTAATAACA